CCTCACATCATCAAAGTCTACAACAACCGTAACTACTTCAAGCATGTCTTCCACTTCATCAAAGTCTACAACAACGACAACTTCTGCTTCTACCACTTCTTCAAAAACAACGGCTTCTTTTACTACGACTTCTCCAAAAACGACGATTTTTCTTTTAACATCACCAACAATAGCTACTCCACTAGCGCTCCCAGCTCAAGTGGAAGCACAATATTGGTGGTATTGGTTTTGTTGGTGGTATCCATCATGTATCGTTTGTTTGGATTGTACGTATGCATTGAACTTCTGAAATTCTTTGTTTTTTTTTGGAATCTATTCAACTTTTATTACTATAATTGAAACATTACAAAACAATGGGATGACTGATTAGTTGAACGATGCTTCAAAAGGCTATTCAACGTTCTTTTGTTGTCCACTTTTAGTTTTGTTATCAGGATTAAAAAAGAGAAAAAGAAGTGGGTCTATTGAAACTTGCGTTAATTGATATTTACATTCTGATGAAAAATTGTTTCAGTTCTATATTTCATGCCCTTTTATTAGGATGTTTTTTAATTCCTCGATATTTATAAAACTGGTATTGAACAATAAATGCAATAGTGTAATGATTACACTTTGTGAATATAAAACTGCCGTAATTTCGTTCGTACAAATTTTTTTTGAAGTTCGTTCGTACGAACCTCCTTCATTCTGAGTGGAACTTATTAATTAATACTGGTTCTATTGAAAATTTCGTTGCAAATAGTTTGGCAATGTTGCGACATAAAAATTTGCCATCCCAATAAGACGTAAATACTTTTTGCGTATTGAATTTCGGGCAGTGATTTCTGATATCTTTTACAAATTTTAAAGAGGTGTTTGCTTAGGCGATAATGTTACTGAGCGGAGTTTAAGGAAAATTTTTACTGATATTGCAAAAAATTCATATATATCCATTACATTTTTTAATATTAGTTATTGTTCGATAACTTCGTGTACTGCTTTACATTTGAGAGGCGAATAATTACAGAATACGAAATAATTACGAATAATTCTGTTTCTTTCTTGTAATTCTTATTATCGTCGATTGTACCAGCATAACTTTTTTACAAGATACGCAATAAACTACTTGGAAGAATCAGTTAACATTCTTCTAAAGATTGCGTAAATTCTCATTTCAAATAATTTTCTTAAGCATAAAGTTTTGAAAATATATCAGGGCACAATCTTCTTTCTCAGAATGTTTGTTATTATTCATTAAGAAACATTATTGCAAAGGCAGTGATTTTAACTCAGCAGGAATTCCGTTATAAATTAAAGTAAGTAGAAATCTCTAGGAAAAGATCATTTTCCTGACCTCAACTTGACTCATATTTCTGTTGTTTAACATCGAATATCCCCAATACTATTAGCAAATCTTGATTGTTGAGTATTATATCCATTTCGTGTATAAAGAGAATCCCACGCATAACAACGCAGTAATATTATGAATAAGTGAGCTGTCCGATTTCAACTACTCTCAAAATTTCATTTTACATTCCCAAAATCGTTTCATGTTAAAATTTTACCGATTATGTGTTACCTCACAAAAAAGTCTTTCAATTTTTATTCGATCCAGTAAATGCTTGAGTTTAAGTAATTTTCAAGAAAAACTTTCGGAATAGGTTACTGAAGAGTCTTGACTACCTCCACTTAACTTTATTTGAAACATTTTCATCATTATTCACTGTTTTATCTCACTTCCAGTGTCCTTTTTTAACAATTTCTTTCCAAGAAGATATTACGTAAAAAGCGAATCCAAACAGTGCCAATATGAGAGCATATGTAATCGCTGACCAAAACAATTCCGAAGCTGTACAATTGGAAAATTTATGTATCTTGGCAGGACATGATAATTATTGGATTACTGTTATTAAATGTTAAACATCACACAATAATATGCCATATAGGATTTACAGTATGATAAAGGAAGTATTGATGAAGGAATATATTACCTTTCCCATTATCCCGTCGAAAGACATAGACTCGATGGAGGAATACAAATACAGTTAATACAGCCAATGTTATCTGCAATTTTTTTTTATGTTGAAGAATCATTTCTCAATGCATGAAATATTTTTTAATCCTCAAAAACAACTTTAAATATTGAATTGTAGTAAAATATGGAAGAAGTTAAAGTGAAACTAAAATAGAATCTCATTCAATTTTTTTGTTCAATCTTTAACAGTTGTCGAAATTTATGCCAAAAAACTGCCATTTTTATCATCAACTAACAATCATCCAAACTAGCGATAAAATGAATAGTCTTCGCTCAGTTGTTACAGCAAATGTGTTAATAATTGACACGATCAAAAGTATAATAATAAGTAAAAAATTTGGGATTGAATCTAGCGTGAATCCATAATCTATCAGGCCACGTATACAAATTACCATCGTTACAACTAAGAATAGCACCAACAGTATGTATATCCATATCTTAAATTATACATATATTCAAGGCGCTCATTTTAGTGCTCATTTTCATACTTTTTTTTTCAATTTCACATTCGTTTTTTTTATTCAATTTGTTAAAACTATGTCACCTATAAGAAAATGTCATAGTTCTATATCTCATAGAGCTCTACCGCTGAGGAGAATGGTCTCATTTTAGCTATAAATTCTTATTGAAATAGAATTTTTGCAAACATTTACTGTGATCGGCACAGAAAACAATTTGTTGGTTTTGTTATCCGTTTTCTCATCACCATTATTATAACCTTTTAACATTTTTCTGTAATTCAACTTTATCGTTTGAATTTCCACGAAAAAAATTATTCTCATCACAACGACCATCAGCGCAAGAAGATTACAGACTTGTAAATAGACTTGTAAATAAGAAGACTTGTAAATAATACAACAACGTACCAGTTTTTCTCATTGACCAATAAAACAATGAAATCAATTAATAATTAG